GGGTTAGGTATACGTTGTTGAGCACATAGGAGCTTGTATTAAACCTCCTGGACTTTCATCCACATAGGTATGTAGAGTTCATATCCACTCTAGCGGGAGGGAGTGTGAGAGATGAATGATAGATAAAGAGTGTATGTCACCTGACACATAGTAGATGCTGAGGGCAGCAGAAGTAGTTGGGTTTTTAGTGCTTGGGACTCTCCCTCACTGTCCCTGTGTGTGTGTGTGTGTGTGTGTGTGTGTGTGTGTGTGTAAAGTGAAGGTGTAAGATCTGTGCAGGATGCTATGGGGTCGGTGGACCCCTTAAATTGTGAACTCGGTGTGTTCAGAATATGTGGAGAATTGGCTTGTTTTAAGCTTTAAAATCCATGCTGGGGATGAAATAGCAGAGAGGATCAAGGAATACTCTAGCAACAGAGCCAGCACTGACGTCAGGAAAGGTGAGTTGCTCTCCACACATGGCTTAACAATAATAAGGGCATTCATGGGAGCTGAGCATGTGTTTGTAATCAAGATGATCACCCTTGTCCCCATTCTCCTTCCACAAAGGGGTCACATTTAGCAATCTTCAAAGATACAGCACTCTAGAGCAACTTTTGCTCCACCAAGATGCCCTTTCCTGACCCTTAGCAACTCCCCCTTCCCAAATGCTCCTCTATAGAAGTAATGTTGACTAGTTTTTTAATAAACTGATACTAATTAAATTACCCTCCAAACAACTGAAGAAATGTAAGTCATTAATCACCATTAATGACTGCTGCCAATAATATTTTAATTATTGCTTGCATAGTCTGCCCCCAAACTCCAACTATTGTCAAACTTATGAACAACAGTTACCTTCTATTACTTAAGAAATTGCTATGCAGAGCACCAAGAACTCTGTGCAGGGACAAAATACTGACTATGACCTGCATGGAAACTAAGAATAACTACAGACAAGCTTCTTCATTATTCCAAGTCTCAGACAAATTGTATACGAAGTGGGCATAGCTTGACTCCTTCCAGGATCATATTTAATATATAAAAGAACGTATTTGAAGGTGGTGGTATGTGAACATAAGGTTTTGTTTAGATACAAATCAGTTTTGTTTTTTTTTCTGTTTTAGTCCCTGTGTGTTGCTGAACAAAATAAGCAAGTGTTGACAATGGCACTGTATTCACCGTCAAAATCTTATCTGTAGCTGTTTCTACTATTCAGTTAAAGCTGTGATGGGTAGAAGCTCTGAGGTCTATTTCGGGTCATTTATGGGGAAAAAAAAAAAAAAAGCAACCCTGCAAAGAGGTGGTGAGAGAGGAGGAACAAGAATAAAATAGCCAGATTGTGAAATAATCCATGCAAGGCTTGAACTGCTGGTCATGGCCTCTCCTGATTGGCCTGATCTCTGAGATTCCTACAGCTGGAACAGATAGCGACTATCTCCTCCCTACAAACTCCTGAAGCCTGATTCCGAAAATGATGTCCTTTTCTCATTCACAGCAGAATAAGGAAATCATCCAGCTCCCTAAAAATCATCCCTTTTACTCTATTGCTGTTCTGCAGCAAAGCTTTCAGTAATTATCCATGAACTAGAAGCACATATTGGATTGAAATCTATGGCTCATCTTCCACTCACCACCACCAGCCTCTCCTTATTTGCCTTCTGTCTATGTCACAACCAGAGACACCAGCTAGATTGGTTTTCTGCAGTTCCCTTGATAGTTGACCTTTGCTCATTCCTTTTTGCTTCTTCCTGAAATGAGTTCTCCCTATTTCTCATGTATAATCTTAATCCTACCTTAGCTCTAGGGTCTACCTTAAATCTCCTTCCGTGCAGTCTTTCCTACACACATCCCTCCTGGCCTACTATGGCCTTTCTCTATCACATCTGTCACAGGGCTTTTGCATCACAACTCAGTTCTAGAGACCAGTGAGGTCATTTCTGCCAACCAGAACCTGTCCCAAGTACCATTCAGTTTTCTCTCCATGGGTTTGAGAAAACTAGGTGAAGGTGCCCATCCTAAGCTTCAGAGGACTACTACCGGAAGGGGAGATGGCATCTAGAACAGTGGACTCTAACCACCAAAATAAGCATGCCTACCTGTTTTGTTAGGAGAAGACTCAAAAAGTGGTCATGTCTGAGAACTCACTCTGCTAAGAAGAACCCCAGCTTGAATTCCTTTTTTCTTGGCTCTCATATTAAGGAAAAAAAAAAAAAAACCAACAGATTATAAGACCACACAACAGCGTAGGTTCCAGGCACTGTGCCATGCATCAGAGGTAGATTAGCTTTTTACATTCCCACAAGGGTCTGATGGGGTTAGTATGGATTGAGAATCCCACTCTGAAATTCTGAGTGTTGCTGGGATTGAGATTTTTGAATTTTGGAATATTTACATAGACCTTGCCAGCTGAACTTTTCTAACATGAAAATATGTCTGAACTGATTTAAAATTAGAAATTGTTGGAGCATCACATAAGAACTCAGAAAGTTTTTAGATCTTACAGCCCTTTCAGATTTGGGATTTTCAGAGTAGGGAAGTGCAGCCTGTGCTATCCCTATCTCCATTCACAGCTGAGAAAACACAAACTCAGAGACAGGAAACAGCTTGTCCAGTGTCTGAGTGAAAGACAGACTGGCTTTGATGTGAACCCAGGTGTATCTGAATCCAAAGTCTACAAGAGTTATTCGTTGTATTGTTTTTTATTTTTTAATTTTTTGTAGAGAAAGTGGAAATTTATTTTGATTTCCATTGTCATTTTGATTATTATTTTTTGTTTGTAATACATACTAATTACAGTCGTCATGGGAAGTTAGCAAAATACCTATTCTATCTTCATCATTTTTGCTTTCCTTTCCCCTCTCCCCTTCTCAGATCCTCTTTCTATCTCTACAAAGTATAGCTCCCTGTTTCTTATCATCTCTCTTTCGTTTTTTTTTATGGATTTAGGACAGGGTCTTAAGGTCTACAGGGTCTTACTACATAGATCAGACTCATAGTGATTCCCCTGTTTTCAGCCTCCCAAGCGCTGGGATTATAGGCACGCACTACCACACCCAGTCTCAGTGGAGGTCTCAGCATGCCTCGGGGCAGGGCTGGCACTGCACACCAGGGATTGAACCCTGGCCACTGCACTTTGCCTAAGCAAGTGCTTTAGTCCACTGAGCTCTCTGGCTGGCCCATCTCTCTTTTATTTTGCTCTTTAAATTATTTGTATTTTGAGTTTCTGTAGCTCAGTGGCACACTGCCTGCCTGACGAGCATGAGGTCCTGAGTTTGGTTCCTGCACCCACAAAAAAATACCTATTTTGAGTTTCTCAAATAAGGGAAACCATGTGATAGTTAACTTTCCATGTCTGATTTATTTCACTTAACTTTACACTCTCAAGATAAGCCCATTTTCCTACAAATGACTCAAATTTATCCTTTTATGGCTTAATAGTACTCCATCTTATTTGTACCCATAATCTTTAAAGTGTGGTCCTCAGAGCAGTAGCATTGGCATCTCCTGGACAATTGCCAGAAATGTAGGTTCTTGGGCCTCATCGAAGTCCTGCTGAACTAGAAACTCCAGACGTAGGGCCAGAGATCTGAACAGTCACAAGTCCTGGTGCTGCATGGTCCAATCTGAGTACTACTGTTTCATACTGTGCCTCCCACCAGAGGACCCATGTCTAAGTTGGCCTGGAAACCATACTAACCGGGGAAACTGAAAATTCTGATTACTCATGGACCCTTGACTGTCCCACCTGATGCTTCTGGGCCATTTGGCTCCTTTCAAGGCAGACCCAGAGTTTTCAAAATGCCTAGAGAATCAGAGGGTCTTGAAGTGGAATTTTTTTTTAATGTATTTAGTACAGGGTCTCACTGCACAGATCGGACTTGTACTGATCCTCCTGCTTTCAGCCTCCCAAGTGCCACCACACCCAGTCTCAGTTGAAGTCTCAGTGCACCCCAGGGGTAGAGCCGGCACTGCACACCAGGGATTGAACCAGGGTCCCTGAACCTGCCTAAGCAGGCACTGTAGTCCACTGAGCTATCAGGCTGGCCCTGAAATGGAATATTTTTTTTAAAAGAAAAGCTTTTAATTCCCTCACATCTTTGTTGATATATCTTATCACCCCTAATCATTCTTGCTGGATTTGCACTATGCCTGTGTTTACTGCCTGTACTGCCAAATTTCCACTGGATGGTGTGTTCTTGATCCTTCATCTATTTAATAACACTGCAATGTCATGTGTGTGACAGGCATAGCATAAGGTGAGTGTCTGAACAGTGAGTTGGAGACCAATGCAGGTACTATCTGAGAGCCTCGCTTGAGCAGGCAGGAAGCAGAAAAGAGCTGCCTGAGTGTAGGGCACAGTACCCTCAGGAACAGGAAAGCCTGTCTTCCATCCTCACAGTCAGCAAGCTGGTGGAGAAGGTGAGGCTACCACAGAGGCGCATTGGAAGGACTGGGAATGCAGAGGACTGGAGGGCTAGTGGGGGATTCGGAGGAGGACTCCAGGCTGAGTGAGCTGCTCTGGTGGGGAGCAGGAGGAAAGAATCAGCCCAGCACGGGCACCAAGTCCAGAGGCTGCAGCCTTCAGTGAGAGTGGGGTGTGGAGAAAGATGAGCTATCAGAAGGAGGAAGGAGCCAGACTTGAGAGTCTTCAGAGGCCTAGGGGTGATATTTGAACTTTAGAGAAATGGGGAACCCCTTCAGGAAGAGAAGTGATGTGGAAAAAATACATACCAAGATCATTCTGGGGCAGCTCTTGTTGCTGGATGTGCTATCACTGCTGGTGACTGTGAGCTCTTGGGAGTTTTGCTTTCTCCTCCTCTCCTGTGCTGTGCCAGGGTGTGACGGGCCATCTCCACGGGTGCCCTGCTCAGGGAGAGTTCAGACCCTACCTGTGTGCTTCCATCCAGTTGGGCAGGAAGGAAGACAAGACAGGATGTTTTGCCCATTTGTATTGCTTTCTTACACTATATGAGAGGAAGTAGGTCTCCTTCAACACCATCCTCAATTCTTACTTGCAGGATGCCTGACATTGCTGGTGACAGTCCAGGACACAGAACGCTATGTCACCCTGTTTGCCTCTGTTACCCTCAAATGTGACTATACCACCTCTGCCCAGCTCCAGGACGTGGTGGTGACATGGCGCTTCAAGTCCTTCTGCAAGGACCCCATCTTCGACTACTTCTCTGCCTGTGAGTTCCCTCTCCGTTCATGTTCTGTGCAGGGCCCAGGTATCTCTGTGATGTACCATCATTGGGGCTAGGAATTATTTAAGATCACAAACCTTCGTAGTGAGGAGCAACAGAGATACAGAGCCTTCAGTTTATAGATAAGCTGAACCAAAGCTGACAATATAACTTTCTCAAGGTCAGATACTATTTTATTTTCAAAACATCTTCCTTATTCTAAAAAAATATTTAAGGTAGCTTAACTGTTCTATAAAAGGTAGAGCAAGTCCTGCCACCTTGTCCATTCCAGGTTTATGCCAATGCCATGATGTGGCTCTGCCCATCACCCCACTGCATTCATGCAACAAGACACCTCAGCCTTCTCAGGATGCAAGATCAAAGTGTCACTGGTGAAACCCTGTTATGGCCACATTCCCTTCCTGGGGATGGTCCTTCCATGGATGAGTACTCTGAATGTCAAAGCATGCTCTATCCCCAGCAGCCCCTTTGCAGTTGGGCATCTCATTGCTGCTCAGACAGGCCCTGCCTCTGAGTAACAACCACCTGCATCCAGAGCTCTTCCAGAGCTGCTCATTTCTGCCCTCTTTCTAGAAGCAAAGGAAGTCAGAAACCCATAGTCAGCGGGAGACAAACTTTTAGAAATTTTGAGAATAGAAGCAGGCACTTTCAAGCAGTGGTGGCAAACCTATGGCATGCACAGAGCCCTCTCTGACTACACATGAGCCAAGTCATCCCCGCAGCAAGACCAGTATATAACAGTTGTATTTTATGAACCAAAACCTCTGTGTTCAGGTTTACTTGCAGTGTTGGCACTTTGTGATGCATAAGTAGGGTTGGGGTTGCAATTGGGACACTCAGTCCCTAAAAAGTTCATCATCACTGCCTAGAAGAAGTGCATGGCCTGTGATGAGACAGAGGGAGCCCAAGGTGCCCACTTTACCATCTGCATCCTGGGGCTAGGGTCTTCATGAGGATTTGAATAGAATCAAAATATCTAATTTTCTGAGCTACTCACTGTTCCTGAAATTTTCCCCAAAAGACTCCCCAAAGACATCATTTCCTGGGGGTTACTCTTAAAGTGCCTGGGCTAAGTGGGAAGGGAGGAGAGATTAGAGTAGGCACTAGCCACTGCTGGATTTGGCAGCTCTCCCATCTTTGCTGTAAGGACAGGTGAAGGAGCATTGTGAGATCAGAGGCTGTAAGAGGTGAAATGGAGGAATCAGCCAAGACTTGCAAATGATGGCCTCTTAGGGGCTCTGGAGCCTTGTTTCTGAAAGTGGGGTTTCTGTCATCACCTGGGCTTGCCAGGCATCAGTTGGGGGCTTCTTTGGACTCAGTGTGGCTTCTCTCCTCAGCATACCAGGCAGCATTATCTCTGGGCCAAGACCCCTCCAATGATTGCAATGATAACCAGAGGGAAGTGCGCATCGTGGCCCAGCGGAGGGGGCAGAATGAGCCGGTGTTGGGGGTGGATTACCGACAGCGCAAGATCACCATCCAGAACCGTGAGTAGAGGGGGAGGTGGCGGGGGAAATCAAGGTGGAGGAGGTACAGACAGATACAGGCCTGGCAGGCTGAGTCAGCACGGGATTTCCCATTCTCTTCTGATCTACTGGGGCACTGTCATTGTTTGAGAAAAGTGCTAGATTCTTAGAATGTGCTGTGCTGTCTGAAATTACTTCCCTAGAACTTGCTGTGTGGATCAGAGGATGTTCTGCAGGCTAAAGGTCTGGGTGGGTTCCTCGGCTTTCTTAAGATTCAAAGTGAGGTTTAGGGGTTGGGGAGATAACTCAGTGGCTGAAGCACCTGCCTGGCAAGTGAAAGACTTGGGTTCAATCTCCAGTACCGCATGCTGTTCTGGCCCCTGAACCCAGGCACATTGTGCAAGCCAATGGGACCAGGTGTAGTGGTACACACCTATAATCCCAGCACTGGGGATTCTGAGACAGGAGGATCACTAGGAGTCTGAGCTGCATAGTGAGACCCTGTATCAAATAAGTAAATAAAAGAAGAAAAAAAAATTTAAAGTGAGGTATGGATTTGTTTTTTGGATCCTGTCCATAAGTTGCTATCAAGATCCAATCAGGTCCCTGGGTCTCCACCTGGACACTTCTTTTACTTTATACAAAGGAAATACTGGGCTTGCGAGCAGGTGAACACTTTAGGCCACTGTCTTCACTGAGAGAAGGAGGAGCACTGGGCTGGTATCAAGAGTCTTGTGTGAGAATCCCAGGCCTTCTGCTCACCAGCTCGGGCATCAGAGCCAGAGCAGTCATCTTCCCTGGTTTTTCTTTCCTCATCTGAGAAATGAGGATCTGCTTCCCTACACTGAAGCGCACAGTGCAGGCAGTGTCTGTATGGTAGGACTTGGGCCAATACCCACATCATAGAGAACGGAGGACTGGGCAAGATACTGTGTCAAAAATCACTCAGCAAGCAGTGAGGACGCGGTGATCATCAGTTATCAGTTCGTAAACTTGGAGGTGGATGATTTCATTCCTCTCACTGCTAACCCATAATCCAGCGTTACTGCAATAAGTCATTGTCACAGTGTTGAAATTTTATTTCAGCGAGATTGAAATATTTTTAAAAAATCTAAAAGAAAAACATAGGAGCGAGCACCCAGCTAGCCACTCACGGGTCCCACAGTCCCAATGTTAGGAAATCAGTGAGTATTCTACTCCGTGGCCAATTAAAGGTAGATCACTTAGCCAGTTGGCTTATTGCTTCCAACTCTGTTACACTTAAATTGGATCCTTTTACACCTATCCTCAGATTTTCTTAGGCTAGCCCTTGAACCCTTCTCCCTAGGGAATATCTGTTTCAGTTTCCAAGTGCAAAGATTCAAGGTGGCTGTAGTTTCTCCAGAGCCAGGAGAATTAGCTCTTATCTGACCCCAAAGCTTAAGCCCTCTATCATTAGTAAGTCTCGTTTATGATTTTTGAAGAATGAACAAACCCAGAGATGAGACCTCTGCTCTTCTGTTTTTATCTGATTCTAAACAGCGCCTTCCACTCCCTGTACCCCTCTACTCCCTTTGGGTCAAACCCTGCCTCTTTCTCACTCCTATAAGGAAGTGGTAATTTCCCTTTGGATTTTATTTCTACCTCTGGGCTTGTTGTGACTTCCTGGAGCCCTGACTCTCTGATACTCCAGGCCTGTGTTTTTATGATTTAAGATAACTGGTGGAAAACAAGCAGTCACAACAACAACAAAAAAAGATGACTCGGTCAAATCAGTTGTTGGATCATCTAAACCATTAACGTACCTGAATACCCTTCTTACGCGGACATTATGCAGGTTCACAGTGCCCATCAAGCTTTGGGAAGATCTTTGCCCAAAGCTCTTTCATCATTCTTTCCAGTCTGGGGTGAGTGTGTTCATGTTCGCGGGAAAGATGGGGGGTTTGGAAAATGATAGATTGGAAAAAGTTTGTAGGGATTGACGTAAAAGAGAAGGAAACAGAAGTCAGAATGTGCTCCAGTGTTGCGTGACTTCATGTTTTTGTTTCATTTCCTCAATAACGTGACAAAGAGAGAATAAAGAATTACAGGCGCACACAGGCGTGGGCACAGCGGTGGGGGGGGGGCTGTCGGGCGTGCTCCGCGGGCCAGGGAGGTGGGTGGTGGGCGGGCGGGGTAGAGCTGTGCAGACAAGCGGGAAGGGCTGAGAGAAGCAGGCGTGGGGGCGCCGTCGCTGGCCGTCGCAGGCCTGGATGCTGACTGCCTGCCCCGGAGGAACCCGCAGCGGCGGCGGTGGCGGCGGTGGCGGAGCTCCAGGTAGTATATCCTAAACTGAAAACAGCTTCCATGAAAACCTCACTTTTAAAAAATCATCTTCTGTTTCTAAAAGACTGAAATAGATGCTGTCGTTTTGAGGGCCGTGTGGTTATGAATGTGCTTCAGCCTCATAATGCCTGCTGCTATGGCAGGCATCCTTGAGATCTGGACAGTGCATTCACAGGTAGCTTGGGATGGCTCCATACCTGTGGGCTGCCTTTTGCCCACTGGGGTTTATATCCAGTTGGAGGTACCTCGGGAAGCTACCATTTCTTGTATCAAACAGTTCTTGAGTTAGTGACCCAAAGTTGTGATCCAGGAGAAAAATTGGATTTAAAAATTGGAGTCCTTATAGGAAAGGGGCTCCATGACTTTGATGCCTTAAAGGATCCTGAAGTGCATGAATTTCGAAGAAAAATGTGCAAATTCAGTGAGGAAAAGATTCAGTCACTTGTGGCCTCATTATGGATTGACTGGCTGAAGCAGACATACCCACCGAAGCATGATCCACCCAGCCTTGAAAACTTACAAGATAAGATTTATGGAGGAAAGTTGAGCATCCGGAACAGTATTGTGAGTAGGGCCTGCCCCATGTTGTACTTGTGGAGTGCTGCAAGGTCAGGAAGATGCATGAGCAGGAAATGATTGCCATCGAAGCGACCATTAATTGGAATTCATCTAACTTTCCTCTTCTCTTACCACTAAAGAAAATATGGATTATTAATCATATTTGGGACAATAACAAGCCTTTCCAAATTATTCTGGTTAAGGGAAATAAACTTAACACAGAAGAAACTGTAAAAGTTCATGTCAAGGCTGGTCTTTTTCATGGCGCTGAACTCCTGCGTAAAACCATCGTAAGCTCTGAGATATCAGGGGAAAAAGTGATCATATTTGGAACAAAACACTGGAATTTGATATTAATACCAAGAATGGCTCGATTGTGTTTTGCTGTTTATGCAGTTCTGGATAAAGCAAAAACAAAGAAATCAACCAAAGCTATTAATCCCTCTAAATATCAGACCATTGGAAAAGTGAATTATCCTGTAGCATGGGTGAATACCATGGTTTTTTACTTTACAGGACAGTTGAGGTCTGGAGGCATAACATTACACAGCTGATCTTCGTTTCCTGATAGACTTGAAGAAATGTTAAATCCAATGGGAACTGTTCAAATAAATCCATATACTGAAAATGCAACCGCTTTGTGTATTAAATGTCCAGAGAATAAAAAGCAACCTTGTTAATTACCCTCCCTTCGATAAGATTATTGAAAAGGCAGCTGAAATTGCAAGCAGTGAGAGTGCTAATGTATCAAGTCGAGGTGGAAAAACATTTCTTCCTGTATTGAAGGAAATCTTGGACAGGTATCCCTTGTCTCAGCTGTGTGACAATGAAATGGATCTTATTTGGACTTTGTGACAAGATTGCAGAGAGAATTTCCCAGTCATTGCCAAAATTGCTTCTGTCAATCAAGTGGAATAAACTTGAAGATGTTGCTCAGTTTTCTTCCAGTTATAACCTAGAAGAGCACATGATATAAATGTCAAAACCACAAGGAAGAAGGGACTTCTAGCAGACATGACCTGATGAGTTTCACGGTGGTCGGCAGTTAAGATTCCTCTCTAGAAGATTTGAGTTCCCCAGAACAGGGCATTTCCAAAGATGTGGCTGTATTGTACCGATCCACTTCCACTTAGAAGTATAGCACATGCCCAAGGATTCTCTGCTAGCCCGTGTCCACACCACTTCTAGTTAGCATCTGTGAGTAGAAGACTCACTATATACAAAACAAACTGGGCACTATTTCTCATGGACTGCTTACACTTGTTATGAGGAATTTAAACATATTATGACTAGTTAAGTTTTGTACAGTGATAGCCTTAAAACTTAAAAACTAAGAGTAAATTCTTTTGTTGTATGTTATTAGTGAACTTCTTCAGTGTAAATTGCCTCTCATTAGCTTAGGCCTTGTAGCTTATATTTATTCCTTGAATTTTACCCTTAAGTGTTTCTTGATCATTTAAAAAATACTGATGATACTGTATGTCATGGCTAATGGTTCTAGAATCCATATCTAATCTATTTCATGTAAATGTGTAATAGCTGGTTTTACTTACCTATAGAATATTTCAACAACAGGAGTTATTACATGTTGGTCCATATTTTTTTTTTTTATGTTGGTCCATATTAACGGGAATGAAATTTTTAGGAATCAATAAATAATTGAAATTTTTAAAAAAGAATTACAGATATGACCATTAACCAAGCAAGAACAAGCCTGTCTGGCTAAGGTCTTTAGGAATTTGAAGATGTCCTCCTGTACTTTCTGAGGCTAAGAGCAGGTACAGCCATACCTTTTGGATGTGGAGGGGTTCTGTTGCCTGAGACTGGCTATTAAATGCTTCTAGAATAGAGAAAATCTTATTTCTCTTCAGTGTTCCCACAGTGTCTGACATAATGCTGAACCTCCAAAAGGTCTTGAGTAAATATTTGTCTAATTTGTTAAACTGGAGTGCATGTTAACCATTTATTACCTTAATTAGGTATCAAAACATTTAGGACTCATAGGACTTAAATTTTCTTGGGTATGATTTACTATTTAAAATATTGGTATTCCATCCATACTGATGTAACTTCATCTTCTACAACCTTTTCTTTCAAGATCCATGGGTATTTGTATATCTTAGGCTGGTAAAGAGTCCAGGCTGTGATATTTCCTACCCAGTTTAGAAAAGGTAATAGAGCCTGATATTTAAGAGCCACCAGCTTTGAGTCAGAGAGATGGGTGTGGAGCCACCTCTACTGAGTACTATTATCTGTATGTTATTCGGCTAATTCCTTAGTCTCTTTGTGTCTTTATTTTCCTCATCTGAAATTCAGCCAAATAATCATACCCCTCTCACATTTAGGATTACGTTTGCTTATCAGTAAGCAAAATCCCCAAAATAAGCTTGACTTAAGCAATAAAGAAGTTTGTTTCACTCTCATGTGTAGAACCAGAGGCGTATACAGCCCAGACCTAAGATGGGGTTTCTGTTCCATTAAGTCCTCAAGAATCCAACTTCTGTCTTCCTGACTTAAGAATGTCATCTTTCTCTTCATCCAAGATGGCAGCTATTACATTTGCTTGCCAGATACAGTAGTCCATTTTCTGTTACTGAAGGGTTTGTCTTTATAAAGAAAGAGGCTTATTTAGCTCATAATTTTGGAAGCGAAAAGTTCAAGATTAAGGTTTGGTGAGATAGCTCAGTGTACTAAGTGCCTGCCTAGGCAAGCACAGGGACCAGGGTTCAATCCCTAGCACCACATGCAGTGCCAGCCCTGCCCCCAGGTGCACTGAGCCAGCCACTGAGTCCAGGCCTGGTGGCACACAACTATAATCCCAGCACTGTGGAGGCTGAAAACAGGAGGATCACTATGAGTCCAAGCTACATGGTGAGATCCTGTACCAAATACATAAAAATAAATGAATAATAAGTAAAAAAATAAAAAATAAAGCCCAAGATTAGACCGTATCACTGGTTCAGGCTCTAGTAAGGGGCCTTTTATGGGATCGCCGCATAGATGATAGCATCATGATAGGAGAATATTCAAGAAAGATCACATGGAAGAGTAGGAAGACATAGAGCAGGGAGGACCAGTTTTGCTTTCTTATAACAGCCCACCCTTTCAGGAATTAACTGTGGTGTCTTCCCAGGGAAATATTGTCAGTGGCCTAGCTGATTTGCTCTCAGCCTCTTCTTTAAAAGGTTGTGCCACATTTCTTCCTACATTTCCACACTGAGGCCCAAGATTCCAACACATGCACTCTTGGGAATAGGCTAAAACCTGTCTAAACCATAGCACCAGGCAACAGAGCTGGAAAGAAGATGAAAGGGCAGTGGTGTTCACAAGCTATTTTTAAGAAAGTTCCTGGGGAGCATTATATGACATTTCTTATATTTTATAGGCTAGAACCGAATCACTGGTTCGTGTAAGAAAGGATGGGAAGTATGGATTTTATTCTAGGGCCCTATTTTAGTATGTTTTGTGCTTCTATAACAAAATACCTGAGACTGGGTAATTATACTAAGTATACATGTACTGCAGTTGTTCACTGCTCTGGAGGCTGAGAAGTTTGAACTTTGTCAAGGGTCTTATTCTGTGTCTTCAGGTAGCAGAAGGAGAGAAATCAGTAAGGTACCAGATTCACCCTTTGATCATAGCACCAATCCTATCCTTCAGTATGGATCCCACATGACCAAGTCACCTTTTAAAGCTCTCACCTCTTAACACTGATACAGTGGCAATAGAATTACAATGTGAGTTCTGAAGTGAACAAATATTTAAACCATAGCAGCTGCATGTATGGCCAAATAGTCTGTGATCATAGGAGAAAGGGAAAAGATACACTAGAAGATCACTGGTAATCTCCACTTCACCAGTAGAGAGTGATCTGTCTAGAAGCCCTATGAAGTATGTAGTGGGACCCAATGAGGAGTAAGGTCTACCCTCACACTCCTGTTTAAAGAAAGAGGAAGGTCTCAGAGGAAGAAACTGAGAGCTTTCTCTCACCTACCAAGGTTCTTCTGAGGACATCAAAGGGTGATACTGAAGCCTTGAAGCTACCATGGATCAGAAACTGTGCTTTGTCCTCTGGTCCCTGGCACTTTCCCCTTCCTTCCTGTGTAGGAGCAGATCTTGTGATTAATGAAGTGATGTGGTGGGACCACGGAGTGTATTACTGCACCATTGAGGCTCCTGGGGACACGTCTGGAGACCCAGATAAGGAGGTCAAGCTCATCGTCCTGCGTAAGTGCTGTCAGCACTTTCTATGATGTTACCATAACACTTTCAAGTATAGGAACATCAACCCAAAACAAAACCAAAAGCAAGCCCATATTATTGTCATTTGTGAACCACTGAGTTTCTTTATCAAAGCTAAACAGGACTTTTTGTTTGCTTGTTTAGTTTTTTGGTTTGCTTATTTAGGTTTTTTGTTTATTTTTTTATTTTTTTATTTTTTTGCTCATCTGTTGTTCAGTGTTAGATTAAGAATGTTAGAACCAGAGACACCCCCGTATAATGTTCATCTCTGCTCAGCTTCTTTCCCTAACCCCCAGACTGGCTGACGGTGATCTTCATCATCCTGGGAGCTGTCCTCCTGCTGCTTCTGATTGGAATATGCTGGTGCCAGTGCTGCCCACAGTACTGCTGCTGCTATGTCCGCTGCCCCTGCTGCCCTACCCGCTGCTGCTGCCCCGAGGAAGGTGAAGCAGGAACAGACCAGCTGTGGGGTGGGGCGGTATTAATGTGCTCAGTACTCCAAACAGATTGGTTTATCATGTGCAAAACAAAGCCATGAGCTCTTCCAGGTTCTCCTCTGTTCAATTCCAGGACTAGCCTGTAAATGGTGCCCATAGATCTGGAAAGCCCCATGGGAGGCTGCAGTATGAGGATTTCTCCCTACTCACCTGCTAGGATGCCCAAAGCCACCTTCAGATGACTCTGCCTACTTATGGCACTCTCTCAGTGATCCTGATTTGCCTGGGCTATACCACTAAGACTAACCCTTCTTAGACATGAGATGGCCAGAGGAATAATATGAATAAGACAGTGAGAGAGAAGTCTACTTTAAAAATACTATTTGGGGTAATTTTTTTTGAGACAGGGTCTTACTTTTGATACCAGATGTGTGTCCAGATACCATCGCTATCAGATACCAACTGGGTAGCCTGTAATTTAACTCCCTGACACTATTTCCCTGGAGTTAGCAACAGATCCCATGGTACTGCCACAAGACTACTTCCCACATAAGATGACAATCCCAAGTAAGGGGTTGTTACCTGAGCTTTTGACCAACTGGCCATAAACTGATGGTGTCTAAAAATCCATCTTCAGATTACTTTAATCTCTTAAAGCAGCTTCCAGAACTTAGAAACACTTCACTTACATTTATTCACTTAATACAAAGGCTACAAATGAATACAAATGTCTACAAAGAATACAAATGAAGAGATACACGAGGCCACTTATGTGAGACAGACATGGCACTACCAAGCCTTCTCCAAAGCAAAGACCTCTAGCACCTCTAATGCTCAGCTACCCAGAAGCTCCCTGTACATAGACCTTTTGAGTTTTTATATATACTTCACTAGAAAGATGTGACTGATTAAGTCATTAGCCAGTGGTGATCAGATGAACTTTTTTTAGCCTCTCTCCCCTCCCTGTAGGTTAGGGATGGGCCTATCTGAAAGTACCCACCCTGTAATCACATGCTGGTCTTTCTTGTGGGCAGCCCCCATCCTGAAGCCACCTAGGAGGTCCCCAGCCACCAGCCATCTTGTTAGTGTGCAGAAGATACTCATCACTCTGGAGAGTCCAAGGATTTTAGAGCTATGTGTCAGGGACCATTTACAGAAGAATATGTATTTTTATTCTATTATATTTTCCTACCATTTCTTAAAGAAGACTTGAAAAGAACAGAGTAGAAAGGCATTAAAGCAGTGACTCTTAAACTGAAGCGCTACATGACCAACCTTTTTTGTGTTTTTTGGAGACAGGCTCTTGCTAAGTTGCCCTGGCTCAGTATGAACTTGCATTATTCCTACTTCAGCTTTCCCAGTGCTGGGATCACAGGCAAGCTCCACTGCACCCAGCTTGCTCTGATGTAATCTTTATTTGGATTAAAACTTGATCCTTCAAAATAGAATTATAAAAGTTTGACAAAAGAATATGTGGCAAAGGCAAAGAATTAATGAATTATTTTATAAAAATCTTTATTAGTAAATGGATGGAGTAGAATCAGTTGTTTTAAATGGAAGTTTTTGTTTCCATTTTAAATAACAATTTCCTTTTCCTGATGATATGCTACCACATTGTAGAAAATTTGCGAAATTCAGAAAAATGTGGACTAATCTGAGCAGCCACAGACAACGTCTCTTACTATTTTGGTCCACTTAAAAGGAAACTCTTAAAAGGGAAATTAAGGAATTGCCCATTATAATAGAAACAAAAACCTAATCTTTATTAGGAAGGTCAATTGTCTGAGTCTGGCTTGAGCCCTGTGCTCCAAGATTGCTGTCTTACGGGAAAAGAGAACTAACTTTTATTGGATAGCATCATGTGTGTGGCCTTTGCATACATTTCCTCACTGAATCATCACAACAACCCTAGAAGGCAGATGTCATCTCTCTCTAACAGATGAGGAGCCAGAAGGTCAGAGAAGTCTCACAGCCAGTTAAGTGGCAGTGGCAACGGCAACATAGGGTTCGGTGCACATACATGTGACTTGCAAGTGTCCATGTGTCTCACCTAGACATCACCCTAGCTTCTGTGGGTAGATGACCCTGGCATCAGCTGAGACAATGTGAACTCCTTAAAGAGGGCCAAATAGCAGAGAACTCAGTGTTGGGCCATGGAATCCCCACTGTTCAAGGCAGCAGGGGAAGAAGCCATGGGAAAATCTCTACCACTGGAATAATGATATGGGAGATGAGAAGAATTTCACAGGATTCCTTCTTAGAATCTGTAGACCCATGAGACATGAAATCCAGCAAGATTGGAGACAAAGCTAGCACAGGGGACAAATACATTCAGTCAGTGAGCTGACAAACAGGTTCTGGGGAGAGTGTTTTTTTTTTTTTCTGAGGTGGTTGGAGTTCATTTAAAAGAACTGGTAATGCCACAAAGAGCTCTAGACTTGAGATGCTGAGGTCACTTTCAAAGTGAGTCACTGTTCTGAGAAGTTTGGTAACAAGAGAAATTACATCAAGGGTCAGGAAAAGCATTATGATTGGAGGGGGAAGGTTTCTTTTGTTGTTGTTAATGGTTCTTTTAGACCAAGGTAGCCCTCAATGTACATGTCAGCAAAGAATCAAGGCTAATAGCATGAGAAGAAAATGAAGACTTAAGAAGAGAGGTAGTCATTGATGTGTGATGGCATCAGGCCTGCTAAGAAAGAACTGGCCCAAGGAAGGGAAGAGGAGGGAGGGAGGGGGGTCTGACCTCTGGAGACAGAAAGGAAGTTGTTAAATGTAAAGGATGATTCAGGTAGAAGGGAGGCACCTCATAGGAGCCTGTCTCAATTTCAACAAATCAGAGTACTAGGGAGCTTTGAGGAGGAGGCCAGTGATACTGCAGCTTCTCTAACCACAGCCCAACTCTTCAGCCTACTCCTACTTTCCCACGAGTTATCACAGGTTTGGGAGGGACAACAGGGAAAGTGACACCAAATTTTAGTAGCCGTTGATAATCCATATAGTCCTGGTAAACGATCTTCAGTAGGATTTGCAGATGGCACTTTTAGAAGTTAAGTCTCACTTTTTCCATGAGAACTAGAGAAGTAGCTTTCACCCCTAGAGGTGAGTTACTGGCCCACTGTCCCAGAGAACCTGGAGACACACTTCATGTGAGCCAGACCACCCTGAGAATGACACCTTCCTCCACAGCCCCCACAGCTGAGGGAAGAGGGGCCCAGAGACACTTGTCCACAATTATACTACATCTTTGTGGTGTGGGCTAGACTTACATGTCTTGACTCCCTGTGCAGGGCTGGTTCCTTGCCCCTAACAGAGACATCATCAGCTGAAAGTTCAGAGGGAGGGAAAGACCTGAGATTTCAGCAGTGTTTAACTAGTACTGGCGAGGAGGGAATGTATATTCAACAGACTAATCAACCAGGGAATGCCCTACAGGGAAGAGGGCTGCTTGGGTGTCTGAATGGAGCCAACACACACCTAGTGGTGGTTCCCTACAGCTAAAAGCCAAGAGCTTAAAGAGACACAGGTTTCCAGGAAGCTCCTGAGGATGTTGCTAAATGACTGACCAATGAAGTCAGGGGTGATAGTTTGGAAAAAACAGAATGGCCACAAGTTAAAAGAGGGGAAAGGACAGGGTTTTTTTGTTAAGGGAAAGGAAAGTTTGCAGTCTGAAGGACACCAGGTCTATGTGTTTGTGGACACAGAGGATTGCAGATGTGAGGGAGAAGAGGTGTGGTTCTGGATTAAGGTGAGGTGTCAAGTGTCATTTCTGCCATAAAAAGGTTGTCTTAAAGAATATGCCTGAGTTTTCCCTCAGAGATAGAAATTAATATGCCTTTGGTGGTTTAGTCTCTAAATGCATGTGTTTGAGATCCAGTTTTATTATAATAATGAGAATCACTGTGAGTTCTATTAGGCATTTCATGTATATTACCTCTTAATCTCAACAAGCTTGTGAATTTTTTCTTTAGTGTACAGATTAGAAGAGTGGGCTGAGGCTCTGTAAACTCACTAAAATCCACATGGCCAGTGCATGCCAGTGTGTAAACTGAAGTCCATCTTATTCTTAAAGCCTGTATTTAATGGCGCATATCTCAAATATTAGGAGCTCTAGCAAGCTCTAGGTTGCCTCCAGATATTGAATCGGAGACTTGGTTTAAAAATGCATATTTTCTTGCCTTATGTCAGAGTAACTGAGGGAAAGTGTCCAGAATGGGGACCCAAGGACTTGGCTATTTGGTACCAGGTGGAAGAAGCCAAGGTTTAATGAAAGAAGTAGCAGACAGCAGGGTTCTTCTCAGTGGAATTGGATGTCTCTGGTCTTGGGGACAGAGACTAGCCTGAGGTATGTCTTGAAAGGTGTGGGGCTGAGTTTGACAGAAATAAACCAAGGAGGTTCTGCTGGCAAAGGATTTTTCGTGGGTTTGTTATTGTTCTGATTTGTTTTTTGGCCTCATCACAGGAAATAAAGAAGTCTGCAGAGTCGTGGTGTGACAGAAAGAGACAGATACAGGTTTATACCCTGGCTCTGCCAATCACTGGAGGACCATGGGCTAGAAAGGCAACCTCGTTGGGCCCAACTTTCGCAGCTGATCCCCACATTCAGAGATTTCTTAGATTAGTTAGCTGATGACTGTATGTATTGAGCAGTTTAATGTGTGTCCATGGTGGCCAGTAGAGGGAGCTCGGGAGAAGTATCCATTAGGGAGAGCAAAGTGCTGAGTAGGATTTGTCTTCTGGGAGGCCAAGTGCTGTCAGTTGGCATGTAGGGGTGGCAGCTGGCTAAGTTGTCGTAAGTTTGCATCTGATTTCCTCCCAACTCGGCTGTGGTTCACCTTCAGGGCTGGAGCTCGGATACTTCTGGGGGCTCTGCTGCAACCACTTCCTGTTGTGCTAGAAGTTGTTTCACAGTGGAGCTACCAATGACCCCTTAGATGGCCCCTTGGCCACTACTAGCCTTAGCAAACCTCCACTACATAGCTAGACTGCCTACCTTCTGACTCCTATGCTGTGTCAGGGCACCTCAGACAGCACCTGCTGCTTTAGGGGAGTCCACAGGACCTGACAACCTAGGCAGGAGGGTGGGAGAGCATCAGGCTGTCGCTCAGAGCACAAGCACGATGTGCAAGCACATCTCCTCCATGCGTGAATAGGCAGCAACCTTGGGAGCCATGCGGCACAACTGCCTCAAAATAGAAATTCATGACCAAAAACAAATGTGTTTATTTTTAATTTGTGTGCATTATAGCTTGTGTGCTTTAGAACAGCTACACCTAGGAGAGTGGACTGAGGCTTCATTGCTCCTTTGCTCCTTGCTTCTTTGCCTCTGGTGCTCCTTTTTGCATTGTTTTCTTTGCCCTGAAAGGGGTGGTATTTCCCTTTCTGTTTCCCTGCATTTCCCATCCCTTAAAGATTCCCCTTATCTAGAGGAAACCCCAATGCTTACTAAGGTGAAGAGTGGACAGGGTCTCCTGGGCCCCACTTCAGCATCTCCCACAGGTTCTTACCCACCAGTGCTGGGGCTCCAGCCAGAAATGCTCTACAGACTCGTGTGCTTCCCTGTTCCTTCCACTGTGAGCAGACAGCCCTGAGCTACCTGGCAGACTCATGCATCCCCAGCCCCTCACTCACACTTCCTTTAAACCCTTTGCACTTGTACCTTCTATTTCTGACTTTTGGGTTCTGAATTTGCTGGCGCGTGGTGTGAGATTTCATTGATTTCTAGTACCCATGTTATCTACCGCACACTTTAGGTGTGCTTGGGAGTAGGCAGGTAGGATGAGGAAATGGTTTTGAGGCTGGGAAATTACATTTGAAGAGTGTGCATTTCTAGAGGATGGGAATTGCAACCTCATCCAAAGAAGTTAATGCCCAGCTCCTTGCCAGAGATCAAGTTGGTTCGTTACCCCCTTAATGTTTGCTGTCATGCCAGCTGAGGAGTGGACTTGGAGGAGAGCAGCTGGCTTCATGACATGAATGTTAGGACAGACAAGAAGAGGAAGGTGCAGCTTGCCTGGCTGAGGGTCTGCATTTCTCCTTCTTCCCCTGCAGCCCTGGCCCGCCACCGCTACATGAAGCAGGCTCGGGCCATAGGTCCTCAGATGATGGAAAAACCTCTGTTCTGGGGTTCGGACAGGAGCTCCCAGGTCTCATCTTATGCAATGAACCCGCTGCTGCAGCGAGGTAAACCTTGCCAGAGCCTTGGGCAGGGGAGGGCAGAGGGCAAGGGTAGGAGCCTGGGCTTCATCAGGCCTCTGGGGGTCCCTTTATGATTGAAGATGGGAGGGAGTGGAGTCAGGTAAATAATGTGATATTGTGATGTCCTGAATCTGAGGAGCATGGTTTGAGTCAGGAGTTTGGCATGTTCTGTCTTTATTTCCATTCAGATTTGTCCTTAAGATCCAGCCTCCCTCAGATGCCAATGACTCAAACCGCCACTCACCCTGCCATCGCCAATGGTGTCCTGGAGTACTTGGAGAAGGAACTGCGGAACTTCAACCCAGCGCAGCCTCTGCCTCCCGACTTCAAAGCCAGATCTGGCCACCCCTGCAGCGTGCTGTCCTCCCTGGGCTCTGAGGTTGTAGAACGCAGAGTCATCCGCCTGCCTCCACTGGTCAGAGACCTGCCGCCCTTGAGAAGGACCAGTGACACATCACACCAGCAGTGGCCTAACTCTGTTCCTTCCAGATCCTGGGATCTGAGGGAGGGAAGAAGGCAGTGTCATTACTCAGATTTCCACCAGGAGCTCCAGGACCCAGGGTCAAGATTCTGGGCATCTGGGAGAAGGGAGCTGGACCACCCAGGGAGGGGAAGGCACTACTACTCCAGGCGGCATGGGTCACCTGCAGCTTGGTCAGACCCGGACAGCCTCAGCGATGGTCCCTCATCCAGTGAAGCACATTGGCGGCCCACTCATTATCTTCCCAGGAGCCACCACAGGGAGAGACCCCACAGGGCCAGCCCGGAGGAGGACCGCCGGAGGGTGAGGAGACGCCGGCCCCGCAGCTACTCGCCTCCCATGCCCTCTGGCCTCAGTTCCTGGAGCTCTGATGAGGAGGAGAAGGAGGCACTGCCCAGAGACAGGGGCTCCCGAAGATACCATGGCCATTCCCGTTCCCCAAACTGGCCTGAGGAGAAGCCACCCAGCTACCGATCACTGGATGTCACTCCAGGCAAGAATGGCAGGAAAAATGGGAATGTGGAGAGGCGCTCGGTGAGCCTGGGGTGTCCGGGTGAGGGTCGGGCGTGGGTAGAGAGGATCCTTCAGCCAGGCCTGGGCACAAGGGACACAGGCTACCTCATGGGGCCTCCAAGAAGAGTGCCTCTTCCCTGCTTGACACAAACTTCCCTGTAGGCTTCCTTGTAACATGAGGCTCCACCTCCTGTTAAGGCTGAAGGAATCTAGGCAGTGCCAAAGCTTAGCTCCCAAAGGGCCTTCTCAGAGTCAGTGGCAGTCCAGCACTCCTTGTACCCTACAGGCAGGTTAGCAAGGGAAGCTGTTTCACAGATAAGGAAATAAGGCTCCAGGCTCCGAATGATTAAACACCTTGTGAGTAGAGGAGCAGAGACTTGAACACAGGCCTTTGTGCCTTGCACCTTACCTCCTGTCACAGCTGCCTCGCTTTTCTTAGCAAGCCTATTTCCATACCTCAGATTAGAACAGGCAGCCGGCCTGGGGACACTCAAGTGAGTATGCAAAACTTTGGTGTGTCTGAGGATGAGGCCCTCTTTATACCTCCTTGGGAAGAATCATTGATAAATAAACAAATCTTGGTACCCAAAATACGGGTCCAAACTTTAGGGACCTATGAACAGACAAGGTACTGATCATAGCTTCCCAACCAAAAGGGGAGCAGTGTGGGACACAGGCCTTTGGGACCTCTGGAAAATAGACATTTCTTCTGTTTTTAAACATGTGGCTTTAAAAAATCATTTTATAATGAATACATCCAAATGACAATGTCAAAGGAACTTTGTGAAGGAACAACTGCCACGGTTACTCAAAAGCAGTAGTGAACAACTAGGTGCCAACTTACAAACTACTATATCCCCAAAATAATTTCTTCTCTATTTGACCAAAATCTTTTTCTCTATGGCTTCTGCTGAGATAGACAGACCAAACCATAATGGGGCCTGAGGGAATAACATCCCAGACTGGAAGGACAGTGTAAAAACTGTAGTCTGTCATGGGCTTTGAAGGATATGCTTCTCAGTCAGAAGTGTTCAGCTGCAATGTTTGAAAAATTCTCACGCACATTGTGTGTGTGTGTGTGTGTGTGTGTGTGTATGAGATGTGTGTAAAGGAGCAAGCCCCTGAGTGGAAGCACAGGCAGCACTTTCTAGAGCAGGCCTTGGAGAGAACAGATGTGTGAGGAAGGCAGGGAACACCAGCAGGCATTTCTGAAATAATCAGAGCTTCGTGGTACATCCTCACAGGTGCCCCATGAGAGGCAAAGACCAGCAGTAGTGCAGTGCCCCTGCTAAGGGCACCGGGCTGTGGATAGCTAATGCATCATTGTGTTTAATTCCTGTACCAGCCTTGTAATCTAAGTCCACATGAGACTGCAATTTTTCTGATAATCACCCACAGCTCTGAGGTCCCTGTGTGTCAAAGGAAGCAAAAGAGAGAACTGCTCGCCCCATTCGCATGTGATGCAGCTTAGTCTTCAGTGTTTCCATTTAAAAAAATTAAGTTCCGAGTTGCACTTGTTTAAAAATTATCATAAATGCTTGGCATTCTGCACACTTTTGTGTAGCACATGAAAGAATGGCTAAAGTGTTACTCAGAATATGTACAAAACATGGACAAAAGACTCTTACAAAGAAGGAACAAACGAATGGTGTTGCGATGGATTCTTTTTTTTTTTTTTTTTTGTGGAACTGGGGATTGAACTCAGGTCCTTGCGCTTGCCAGGGAAGTGCTTATTCCACTGAGCCATCTGGATGTGCCACATTTCACTGCCATTTGTATAACAGTGCTCTAATTTTGTGGAGTTAAAAAAAAAAAAAAGTAAAGTAAATCCTGAAAAATCCCAAATTAGTCAAGGCTGGGAGAACTCAAACTATATTTACTTTACTCATATAGTGACTAAATATGTCTCTTCATTTTAGCAGGAAAAAAAGCAAATTTAAAGTTTTTGGCCCCAGATTGAAACCTTACTTTTTCCTAAATTGAAATTTTCTAATCTTTATTTTAAGTTAAACTACATAGCTTCTTGAAGGGAAGGGCTGGGGTAAGTCATTTCCAAATCCTGTTTCATGAAATCCTCACAACAAACATGCAGGACTCAGAGAGGTTTAGCAATAGGCTCAGAACCACACAGCAACAAAAAGTAAAGTCTAAGTTTGAAAATAGACTTCTGAATCCCACTCTGTCCCCCTTATAATACTCATGGTCCCTTTTTCAAAAAGGAGAGAAGTAACATTAGGCCCAATAGTATTTAGTAAAGGATCTCAGACTCATAGCGATTCTCCCGTTTTCCACCGCCCCAGCACTGGGATTACAGACCTGTAGTATAGTACCTTATTTCTTCCCACTTTTCTGAAAGTATCACAGCCTCCTTTATCATCACGATGAATGCAACAATAATTCTACCAAAAGTAAGCCAAAATTTCAGTGGTACAGTCGCTCGTGAGATGCGAAGACTTGGCCCGAGATCATCTGGAGAAGCCCCATGGTTTAAGCTTGTGCCCCAGAGACCTTTGTTTAGCACTTGATCACATTCACCCTTCCAGCCTAATCTGACAGTGACCGGAGGCCCAGGCCCAAGGCTTGACTTGACAGGTTGGTTAGTTTGAAGGAGAGTGTTTTCTTTCTAACTTGAATCCTGAGTGCCTTCAAGGAGGCAAAAGTCTCCGTGTGAAAGCCTTCCCCACCCTGGCTCGCACGGGCGGACTGCCCTGCCTGTGACGTCATCAGAGCTTCTGCGCTCCTACAATCGAGTGGCAGCCAGCCGCTAGGTGGTGGGCTTTGATCGCTTATCTCTTGAAGGTCTGTTTATTCCTTGCGTTAATAACACGCACCACTATTTCCTGGGAAATCAAGCTTTATTAGTTACAGCTTTATCATACTTTCTTACAAAATGTTTATCACAAATACTGCGTTAGGTATTCAGAGAGATGGGGATTATATGTAATATGTTTTAGCTTGCAGGAATACCTCTCTTTCAAGAATAATGTTTGACAAATAGCTACAGACAAGAACTCTGGGGCACACAATCTCGTTGGAGGCCAAAATAGGGCAGAACTGTCATCTGTATCATGCCAAGGAGAAAGCCAAAGTTATGTTGAGGGATCTTCCACTTGATCCAGACTCCAGCTGTCTCACTTCACACAGCCAAACAAGTTAAGAAATACAAGAGGCAAAAACTTCAAGTTTTTAACTTCAGTGGTTACAGACCTAATGTCCCCTCTGTTCCTGGCCTCTTTGCAACTCCGGGAAGTTTCTTTTAACCTACTTCACTCTTTCCTTGTGTGACAGAGGAAACATGCATCACAGAGTAACTTGATAGAAAAAAAATCTCACTTTTACGATAAGTTTAAAGTATTTTAAAAATAAAAATGGGAATATATATGCCTTTGGAATAGTATATTATGGACACATGCCTATCTTCCTATTTCAGATAAGACGAGGGTGGTCATATTCATGGATTGGAAGTATATAAAATTTTTTATAAGTTTTAATTTTACCCGAGTATCACAAAAATTTTTAATTTTTTACTAGTACATGTTTGCAGCACATAGTGGTTATATTCATCAGGGAAGCTGATACAGATGCAAAACACATCTTAATTAGTTTACATCTCTTCCCCTTGGGTGCATCCAGCTCTTGGTCCCCTTCCCACTTGTGAGGATCTGTTTTCCTGTTCCCTACTACTGATCTTTAATTTGCTCATTACATTCCTTGCACTTTAGGTTATGAGATGATCTCCAACGACACATAATTAGATACATAAACTTGAGAAATGTATACCTCACTGTTTATTGAAGAAGTAGGAAAAGCCCAAAGACCAAATGATTAACTTTTGAAGAAAAGCCACTGAGTTTGTTAAGAAGAGGTAATTAGTCATCTCTATAAATAACTTTAGAGAAATACTGAGATACAAAGCCAAATGTTGTAGAAAATGGCTGCAGAAAATGATTCAGCAGAGCATGAACAGGAAAGAGTCATGTTTGCTATTGAATGATAAGGAGATGGACTAATGACTAGAATAAGGGACCTTTTTTACTGTCCATAAGAGACTAGAAATGTAAAAAAAAAAAATGCATTGATTAAAACTAAGAAGTTTTCAGAAATTTAATCTATTTGAGGGATGCTGCCAAGGGAGAAAACTAAGCCTAGGTGTTGAGACTGGTTCCAAAAAGAGGTGAAATGTTTTTAAGCTCATGTCTGCCATCCCAGAATCCACTGCTCACCTAGGAATGTACTTCATGCTTTGTGTATTATGTGCACACATGATAGATTTTGGCTGACTGGACTTTTCTGTTTTCATTCCTCAGGAGAGAGAGAGCTCCCATAGTGGAAGGAGTGTAGTCATTTAGTCGTCGGGCACAGCACTACTTCTATGGCTGCTTCTTGCTTCCTGTGTCATCAGCATCATCTAGATTTCCAATTGACTTGAGAGAGACACTTCAAGTCTACCTGAGAATTTTGGCTTCGATTTCAAAAATTAAATAGAAGAATTTTTTTGTCAAATAGAAGAATTTTTAAAACAAGATCAATAATTAGTGACTAACCTTAGCCTTGAGTAATGCTCTCTGAATATCCATATAGTCCCTCAGGTATAATGGAGTCTAACTGGGCTGTGATAGGTCACAGCAGTTGGGACCATGGACATTCTCAAAATAGAACTCAGGAATTGTAATGGTAGGCTTTCCCTCACTGGAACAAAATGCCTTGCATATACAATTTAAGAAGACTTATTTCGGGTCATGGTTTCTGAGATTTCAGTCCATGGTCAGCTGGGTCCAAGGCAGAAATGTCCTGGTGGAAGAGCACAGTGGAGGAAAGCTGCCTACCTCATGGCAAGCAGGAAGCAAGGAGAGAAAGCAGAGCCAGAGAGGGAAGAGGTGGAACACAAGAGTATATCCTTCTGTGGAATGCCTCCAGGGAGCCTCCTAGTCTGACCAGGCCTTGGCTTCTCATAGCATAATTCAGTTTTGGACTCATCAGTGGGTTAGCTTCATGAGTTTAGAGTCTCTTATCATCTTCCAAAAGCTGCACCTCTGAATACATGAGTGTTTGGGGGGACATTCTTGTGCAGACCACAGCAGTAAACTTTAAGAAGTCAAACATTTCAGGAAGAAGAAAATTATGAAGTATTAGGGAAACTCATATGGAAACTGGTCCATCTCCATTCAGAGTTTTTTTGTTGTTGTTGTTTTGTTTTTGCAGTACCGGGGATTGAACTCAGGACCCTGCGCTTGCTAGGCAAGTGCTTATTCTACTGAGCTATCTCCCTGGCCTCAGAGGTCTTTATATGTGAGGAAATCTACTCCCATCCCTAGTCCTGAGACTTGAATTTTCAGTCTGAGATGGCATGAAAATTCTATAGATATGTACCCTATAATAGGCTGTTTATTATAAGAGAAGGAGGGAAGTATTTTTGCACTAGTCATTCCTGTATCTTATTTTCTGTTTGCTCATTCTCCACTACACCTAATTTATATTTTCGTATGCATTATATATCCATTAAAATCATTTTATGTGCTTTTTGGGAATAATACGGTGTAAGTAAATAAGAAAAAAAATAAATGTACTGGGATGAAGATACTGCCCCCAAAAATACATGATTTCTACTTTGGTTCACTTGATTGGTTTAGACCTTCTTCTCCACTGAAGCTCAGAGAAGAAGCAGGCCAACCTAAGCAGTTCTGAGACTATTCCTGACCTTTCAGGCTTGAGATTTCCCAAGCAAAAACATTCAGGCAGGTATTGCTCCTCAGAGTCCCAAGAGAAAAGGACTGTGCCTTCCCTCTAAAGATTCTTAAAGCTCCCCCCATTTTCTATTTTTATGCTTGATGTAAAGCCCTTCTCTGAGCAGATGGAAAGGAGATGGGCCAAGCAGAGGTGTAAGTATGTGTGTGCCTTAGTATCTATATGTGCATGGCCTTGCACTTAATTTAGAAACTGCTCTATGAACAAATTCATCTTTCCCCTAGTTTCATGACTACATGTGGAGAAAATAAAGGAAGCTTCCAAGATAGCTTTAGGACAAAAGCTCTCCATTCTACTTCTACATAAAGTTAAGACTGTTAGAATTCATGGAATATTTGTGTATGACTGGAGAAAGCCTCACCTGGTATCATGCCATTCTTACTGAAAACCCAGATATCTCTCTTCACTTTTGCAGCGTTTTAAGGCCTGAAACAATCCTTCCAACCAACCAACAGATAGAACATGAGTGTGAACACATTATTGGTCAAAATTATGCCAACTGCCCCAATCTGAGGTCTAACTCATGGTGCACTGATAATAGCAGTTTCATAAAGGATGGCATTGGGGGAGCAGGCTATGCCACAGACAGCTCCACCCAGGTCACTGAAGCAAGAAGACTAACCCAGGACCTCTGCCTAAAAGACAGAACCTGATGCCCTCATCCAGGCTCTCCTACTTACCTGGGGGAAGAAGATCGATATGTCCTGTTGGCCTACATGCACATGCAGCCATCTGGAAAGAAAGAGGGCTTTTGCTAGCCACAAGTCTCCAATAAAACATGGACCAGTAATCCTCAACCTCCTTAAAAAAGTAATTCTCCCAAGTGAGGTAGAAGTTGTCCACTGTGAAGGACATCAAGCCTCCATGGACTCTATATCTCAAGTAAATTTGTAAAAATGATTCCACTGCCAAACAGCCTGCTTGTCAATATAATTCTGACCCATCAACAACTCCACCTATAGTCTCATTCCAAGATCCTGACTTAGAACCAGGATATCCTATAGAAGAGCTTTAAATGATTTGTACTGAGAAAGAAACTCAAAGGTCCAATGATGTTATGTAGGACTCTTAACTGTTCTTGCCATAGTGAGTACAGTGGAAAGTTATTAAGTCCCTACATGATGCCCTGCACCTAGGTTGAGATGCCACCATCACTATGTCACACAGGCTCTTTGTAGAGCCTGAAGTCCATAATGTTATAGCCCAGGTCTGTATGGCATGTCCTGCCTGTGCTCTCCATAACCCACAGACTCATCTTCTCCATTGTCTGAACAAGGGCAAAGATGTGGATCCCCCTTGGAAAAGACTGGCAAATAAATTTCACCCATATGCCTGTGAGTAAGGGACCTACACACCTCCTGGTATGTATGGACACCTTTACTGGGTGGATAGAGGCCTTTCCTGCCAGGTCAAAACAGGCTCCTGAGGTGGTAAAAGTCCTTCTTAAAGAACTAATCCCTACATCTTGACTGCCTAGATCTATCCAGAGTGATAGTGGACCCTCCTTCAAATCTCACATCACACAGGGAGTTGCCACATCCCTGGGAATTAAGTATCACCTCCACACAACTCGGAGACCCCAATCACCAGGAAAGGTTGAAAGCCCCAAGTCCAAACTTAATGTCAGCTCATTTGAGGTACTTTGTGGGAGGCCTCTTCTGATATCTGTATTGGTTATTTTTGTGTTGCTACTGAAACAAAATACCCAACACCCAAGTTAAGGAGGGAAATGTTTATTTAGCTTACAATTTGGGGAAGTTTCAGTCCATAATTAGCTGGCTCCAACACAGAGTGGAAAAAGGGCAATAGTTCATGGAGGGTGGAAGACAGCAAAAGCAGCAAGAGCAAAAAGTGAGGAGCAAGAGCAAGCTTCTTTCCCTCTTTTATATTGTATACAAGTTTCCTGCCCCAGGGTAGCTTTAGCACTCACACCCGTAATCCCAGTATTGAACCAGGAATCAATCAGAAATCCATACCATGAATGCATGAGGCTAGGTTGAGTCCTGAAGGACACATCTAGACACAAACCATAGCATTCTGCCCTGGCACATCAAGGACACATGTAAAACTCTTTATGCAAAAGGCATTTTAATCTTTATGCAAAAGGCATCTTTAATCTCTTAGAATTGCTAAAGTCCTAAAATTTCAGCATTGCTAAAAAGTCCAAGTCCCAAGTCTCTTCCAAGATCTAGGGCAAAGTCTTATCTATGAGTCACTGTACAAATGAAAAACTACACACTTCAAACATTCAGTGGCACAAGATAAACATTACTGCTTCAAAAGTTACAAACAGGGACAAAAGCCAGCAAAAATCCAGCCGGGCAAACATTAAGTCCTGTAGTTTCACATGCAACATCAACATCAGAGGCAATCTGTGGCAAACCGTGAGCTTGATGTGGCTCTGCCTCTATGGCACTTCTGGTGGTTGTAGCTCGTATGCCCTCTCTCTTGTACTCTGCTCAATCATTGCAGTTTTCCTCAGACAATGCATGTGCCTTTCCTCTTCAAGTTTCTGGTATTTCCTCTGAACCTTTGACTTCACCTTCATAGCTTTACCTATTGCTCTCTCAGGAGCACACTTCATGGCCTCCCAGGACTTCTGAAATCTGAGTGGAAGCCCCTTTTTTTTTTTTTTTTTTTTTTTTTTTTTATACCTAAAATCAGTACCCAGGTTGATGCTAAGATC